TCAAATCTTAAAAGACATCTTTAAACAAGTCAAAAGTTTGTGGGGGGTTTTTTTGTTGGCTTTTTTTGAAAACAAACCTCCCTGTCCTCATCTGCCACATCAAGTGTCCTTTGCTACTCCATAATTCCTTTGGCAATAGATCATTTGTAGATTATTTGCCCACATAACACAGGGGCAAAGCAAATGATTATTTGCTTTTTCAAAATAGTTCAGAGACTTTGGCAACCATTAATACACACTGTCTGTAACTATACCCAGAACAGTGAGGCTTTTTACAAGTTTACAATTAACATTCTCCAGGATTTTTACCTGTACAAAGGTGTTTAGAGAGACACTCAACAGTTGAAAGTAAACTCCTTGGCACCACATAACCAAAAACAGCCATCCAGTGTTTTTTATAACACTTCAGCAGGTTTACTAATGTCCATGGTGGCTTCAGATACAGGATCTGAAAGAGAACACGTTATAAATTCATTTACACCTATTCCTGTGCATCCCACAACTGCTCCATTCCCTCTGTTCTCCCCTAATGGATGATTTGTGATTGCTGAAGTAGAGTTTCAGTGATTCCTCAAAAACAAGGCTTTATTCACATGTAACGAGTTTATCTATTAAATAAAGATTTGATTCAGCAGCATGGGTTGAATAGTGATGCTCATGTACAATGTACAATCACTCCCATAATTTTTGGTTCCTCTTTCCTCTAAAAACAAAATCCAAATGCTCCTGGGTTATCTCAAAGTGATCTAATGTGTTACTTGTGCACAAAAGCCAGAACAACAATAAATATGCCTTTGGTTTTCTAGTATTGCTAAACAATAAAAATAAAAATTGCTGACTGTATACACATGAAGTAACATGTATGTATTGCAAAAAATTGAAATTTATGAGTATCAAGTGAAACCAGAGTTTGAAGAGATGTTAACAGAAATGAACTAAGTTAAACAGAAGTGACCAAAAGCTTAACTGTCATCCCATGACTTTCTGGGGGTTTTTTAAAGCCACAGAGGCTTATCTGCAAGAAATTTAAACTTCTAATTAACCCCCACCAGCTATGAAATGGAATCTAAACCAAAGCATGGACAATTCATAGTGCCTGGCCCTTGGGTACAATTTCTGTTTAAAATACTTTTGAGAGTGTTTGGAGGTTCTCATTAACACCCTTGTAATTCTGTATCTGCACTGTAATCAACTGAGCTGTGAGCAATTTTATCCACAAGGTATCTAAAAACATCTGTTGCGGTGGGGAAGAAATGCCTGCAAGAAGAGCCCCAGGATTACACAGGATGTGATGGAATGATTTCTTGCAGGACATAATTACAATGCAGTGATTTACCCAGACTAGAAAAGCTGAAATAAATAGAATTTTAATGCAACTAATAAAAAGCATTCTGAAAAGTCACACTGAGCAGCCAGCACCTCTGCCACTGCATTATTAAAATTCTGTTAAAATACTGCACAGTCATTACTGGTCAAATAGAACAACCTCGTTATAAATGAAATATTAGAGATGAACCCTGAGTTGTCCACTGGCAGTGAACTGGGTAACTGAGCTGTTTGGCTTAGCACAGGTATTACTATCATCTAAATATTAAGGACATTTAAACTTCTTCATACTTGAAACATCAAGGAAGAGGATGTAAAACCCACCTCCATCCACAGGTTTCCGAATGCAAGTTTCATTTCAGTCTCCAAAATACAGGACAAAGCTTCTCCTAAGTTCTTCTCAAGGTCTGGAAGCACATTTGGGAATTGAGCAGCAAACCCAGCATCACCTCCTTGTGTCTTCTCAAATTCTGTATCTGCCAAACCAGTGATGTAAAAGATATTTACTGCAACTGTTTCTGTATCCAGTTTGTGTTGATAGTACACAGAGAACTCATCCCCATAAATACAGACTGCATTTTATATTTATATAAATACAATAAGTTTTGTATTTATATATTTATTTATATATGTTTATAAAGCAGATGGGCTACACCTAAACAGGTTTCAAGTATTTCTAGCTATATCCACTTGTACTGTGGGCATTTTTAATTATGAGCTACTAACCCCAGAGCATTACTAATCTGTGATATTACTCCACATTTCCTTTTTCCTTAAATAACTTAGATTATGTACAGCCAGTGGGGTTATCATCAAGTTTAAGATGATCACTCCTTAACATTGCAAATTTTGACAAAATGAAGAACCTCTTCCAGTCCTAAAAGGTTCAGGGTAATTTTTAAATGACCCTAAACACAGGAAATTCGTGCTGTGTTTTTTTCTATAAAACAAAAATACATCATACTTGAATTTCCTAGAACTCTGAGACAGATGCTTGAATAAAGGTCTCAAACTTTCAGAAAACCACCTACCTTTGAAAACAACAAATGTGCCCCAAACAAAAAGTATTCCTAAGGATTCAAAGCACAGGAAAATTGAAATTAGAGTAGGAACTGTTACATCCAACAAACTCACCACGTTTTGGCTGCTGTTCCCCACAGCTCTGGGGCCTGTTCACGTTCACATTCTGCAGAGCAGTGACCAAATCAGCTTTGCAGAATGCCTTGACCTCACTCACAATGGCTTTATTACATAAATTTTTATCATCCCTAGGAGAGGAGAGAATGAACTGCTGACATAAAAGCAATAAAAGCAACACACACGGAGAGAAACTGCATCTGGAAAACTTGCTTTGTGAACTTCATTATGTATGACTTTTTTTTCCTCAAGCAATTAGAAGCAGATCAGAAAATTAAACTAGAAGATTAAGTAAAGCATCTTTTCTGAAAAGAAATTAGAAACATACTGAGAAGTGTTTCAGGCTCCAGGTTTGCTTTAAGAAAACAACAGCTATAAATACTGCAGCAATGATGCCTGCTTTCTATGATCTTAAAGCAAACAAGGCAATAAGATAGTAATCTTTTTTGATTGCTACAGTTAATTCTCATTTTTGAGACCCTTTTTTACTGTTCTACTGTCCAAATCACTATCCCAGATGCTGCCCTGAGGTTCTGCTCCAGCAGAACTACTCCAAAGACACAGGACAAAGTTGGATTTAGCGCTTTCTCAAAAATCCCCATTGCTTATATGGAGAGAAGATAAAGGGATTTTTGGATGAAAAGCACTTCTGAAGTCACTTCTTGTTCTTTACTCAAAGGAACCTGAAATGACCACCAATACTGTGACTGAAATGGTATTTTCAGCAGCCACTCCTGTGGACTTAAACAAACTAACTGGTGCCCAGTGTCTGAACCCCACGGACTGGAACCAGGCAGGAACTGGTTCCAGCAGAGACCAGAGCAAGTTGTTACAGTACAGCCAAGGAACACCAGCCCTTGAAAAACAGCTTCACCTGCTCCTAGCAAATGAAAATCAACACTCAGAAGTCAGCTGTTATCTTCACAAAACAGGAACAGCAGCAGCAAATCCATGTCCAGCTTCCCCCTCAGATTAACCCTGTGCTTGCTGGGAACGGTGATAAAGTATCTCAATCATTAATACAAATATTTTTTTCTATTTTGTAACCAGTAATATATATGAGAAACCAGGCTAAAATCTGAGAAAGCTATACTTTAACAAGTTTTAAAACTGAATATGAGTAAACTTAATTCTGCTTCAGGCCTGACATGAAGGTGGTTACATCTACAGTCTCCATGGTTTATGATATCCCTCTATTCTAAGCTTTTCAGGGGGTGATTGCCCTTCAAAGAGCTCTACTGCACAACAGCTCTTCCTTTTGCAAACAGTGCCTGTGGCACGAGACCCAAAGCCACGCAGGGACTCACGTGCAGAGGATGACAACAGCCTGAGGGAAGAGGCTCTGGTACTGGAGGCAGCACTGCAGGACACGGTCGTCGTTGTTCTCATCACTCAGCCCATCTGCAAAAAGGCAGGGCAAGAAATATTTCAGTGCAGCCAGGGTATTGCTTGTACATTTAATTACCCCCCAAACAAGGAGAGAGAAGTGTAAAGTGAAACTGAGAAACCCCCGAGCAAACCACACTGAACACGGCGCTGACACTAATCAGGGATTTGCACAGCACAGCCTTGGTTCTCCTCCGAAGGTTGCTGGCACCTATTAGCTAATTGTAATTAGCAAACTGCACAGTGAAGACTCTATTAAAGGTTCCTGCTAGGTGAACTCCAAGGATGAAGTACCCCACACCAAGTGACTGCACATATATTACATATTTTTTGAGAAGCCAGCTGCATGGACTGTCCCCACAGCCTGGAATCCTGGTTTTTGAGACACTTGTAGATGAACTGGACTGCAGGGATAGCTTTGTCCCGGACATGCTGCAACATCTTCCCCTTCTTCAAGTTGTCCAGCTCTTGTAGGACGACCCAGGGAATTATTAAAGCAAGTCTGTCAACACCTGGAAGGAAAAAAACAAACCACAACCAATAAATGATATTTTGAAGAGCCACACAAACTACTACAGAGAACTTTTAATTCAAACATCATATTTCTGCAAGTTCACACTGCTCTTTCTGCCACTAGTTATCATATTCCTTGCTCAAGAGAATCTGGCATTTAAAAAAGAACTGAAATGGCCAAGGTCCCTCTTTCCAACCCAACCTCAAACTGGCACTACACTGATTACATGGAAAAATGACAATATTAGGCAAACAAAAGGAAGACACAATTTTAATCAACAGAACACTCTGACAACAGTGTGTAGCAATATTATAAAATACATTTGCAGCAATTACCTTGTCACACACTTGCTGTAAGATGTTATAGCAAGGTGACACAGCAGCTGAAATAACAGGCTGCAAACACCTGGATGACCACAACAGTCACTGTGCCAAAACAAGCATCCCAACAAGGAGCCATGGCTTGTTCCAGCTGCCAACCAGCATTCCTAAGCCAGGAATAAGAGTATGGATATTGCACCAAGGGTTTATTTGTGTGTAAGTATGGCCTGAACTTGGTCCACTCACAACAAACACTTGAACTGTTTTCTGTCTCATTCACATTATGAGATGCAATTTTGAGAAAATACATTAATAACCATCTGCTTTGTAATAAGTGGTCAGGAACCTGTGACCTTCTCAATGTGCAGGACCAGAAACTGGGAGCTGCAATGTTCTAAAAAGGCAATCCAGTGTAGGCAAGGCAACACCATTCCCAAAATGGGAAGAGAAATACGGTCTGACACTCTCCTGAAAATTACTCAGGAGTAAAGTTATGATTAAAGCCACTTTCCAAGTGGTTGGAATGAGTGTATTCATGAGTTAAATTGAAGCACCCTAAACATTCTGCTGGATTCCAAATATGCTTCCAAGAACTGACATGCCCAACCCTAAACCCGCTGACATTAAATCACCGAAACCTTCCCAACATATTAGAGCCAAATGTTAAACCCAGAACCTGCTTCCTGAGTTCCTGAAAACTGCTCAGTTCTGTGACCTTTACCAAACACAAGCACTGACTCATGGCTTACCAGACTTCAAATGTTCTTAGATTTCTAGGACAAGAAATGCTAAAAGGAGTAGAAAACACAATTATCACTAGTTATGGCTTAAATGCTTGCATTATGTTCTTAGAAAGGGTAAGACTTATTTAGCTCCAAGAATTCAAGCATGTTCCTGGGAATGTCTGCCATGATTCCCTGCAGGTAGGTAGGGATAAGCACAGTACTTCCATAGCTGGACTTCCCATGAGAGGCACCTTGTTTGGGCTCACAGAACCAGCCTTCTGCCTCTGCGGGAAATCTGCTGCCCTTTGAAGGAGCCCAGCTTTGGTTTTCTCCAGACAGCTCCAAGTTCTTACAACATCTGTTTTTTCTTACAATGGATTCACATACCTGGTATATCCTCAGACTTCAGGGATCTGACAAACTCAAGGTGACTAATCATGATGTTTGTGTCAATCACCACCAGAATGTTCAGACCAGAAGTAAAAGCCTCTGGGGGAAAAGAAGAGAAAAAAGAGAAAACAAAGCAGCAGTGAAATAATCAGTTGTGTACTCCCTATTCAGACCATCAGCCAACTGTAATTATCAGTTGCAAGCAGAGAGCAAAGAGCACCACAACATACCAGCAGAAACATTTAAATCCTGCTCTGGAAGATCAATGTCCATGCTTGTGAGCTCTCCACAAGCCTGGACTACAGACAGTGCCATCCTCTTCTCCACACGGGCAACGTGCAAGTCTTCAGCTATCTGCATCTACAGGGAAAACATGGGCATGGATGCAATCCACTGGAAGGAATCACTTCATAACTGTCCCCCCCAAAGATCCTTTTGCATTAATGCTGTTCAAACTGGCTCATGATGTACGAAAAACAGTAACTTGGTACAGGAAATGTAAAGCCATGAGAACTTCTGCTCCACTGGAGGCACCGAAAATATGGCCTGGAAAGAAGATTTAGGACCTTTCTAGCTGGTACCCAAAAACTTTGTTCCATTTTTTGCTACATAAACTGCGAGTTTCCTCACAGGCACTTGTTAAAAACGAAGTCTTCCTCCCAGCTAAAAAGTTAGAGGATGGAAAACGAGACAGCTGGATAATGTGAGCAACTATGAGGGCCCCTTGCAGATAACAACAGAAAGACAACCTTTATCTCAGAAAGTTCCTGATTAGCAAACTTTAGCAAGTTTGTTTAGCATTTAAAATAAATGCCCCACATTTTTGAAGGGCAGATCATAAGCCAACAATGACAAATACTAGGAAAGGTCATGGAATTGTCCAGCTACACAACCTCAGTGCCTTTGCTTTTTAATACAACTCAGAAGTGTTATATTAAAGCATTACCAACCTCTTGGTCTGTTTCTGGGTTCTGATTGTCTTGAAGGGCTGGAAAGTCTTCAAAGTTCTGCAGGAAGGATTAAAAAAACCCTCCCAACACCACAAAACATCAAGGAAGACTGAGGAGCAAGTGATCCCCATGTCAGGAGTTCTAGGATAGAGCTGTACAGTGTTAAACAAGTCCATCACTCACCTGCTGGACAGGCACAGGCTTTCTGACCTCACCTTCCTGGTAGGACTCAGACGTGCACAGGCTCCCCAAATTCTAGAAACAAGTGAGAATAAAAGTACAACATGTATCAGACTTTTACAGCTGTTTTTAAATAACACTGAATAGTCCCAAGTGAACTGAATAGGGAACACCAATTCTATGTTTTTTAGCACCTACAGTATCATTTCAGCAGAGCTTAGAAGGATGGCTCTCATTTAAATAAATAACAGTGGATTACAAAGCAAATTCCACCTGAACATTAAACCCCCACTTTTTGGGGGTCGAAGGTGCTGGAACAGGCTGCCCAGAGAGGTTGTGGAGTCTCCATCCTTTGTCCTGGGCAACCTGCTCTGGCTGATCCTGCTCAAGCACAGGGGCTGGACTAGAGGATCTCCAGAGGGGCCCTCCAACTTCAGTGATTCCATGATTTTGCAAGGAATTACTATCTCTGCATACACACAAAAGGCTCACACTACCATACCATGCACTGAAATCCTCAAAAATTCCGGGCATGTTACACAAGAACAACAACAACGAGAACCACCCCATGCTCAAGATCTAGCTTGTGTTTGGCTCTGCACCTCAGCTTGAACTCAGAAATGAACCCCTCACAGCCAAATGGGAAGTTCTGCAGGAAAAGTACCAATTTAACCCCAGATCCACAGCAAGCTCTCCTGGCATCACTCTGCCAGCAAGTCTGGCAGCAAGTTTTCATTGCTTCGAGTCCATTCATTTAAAAAATGATACAACCATGTCAACGCAGAAACAAACTCCTGTTGATTTATACCTAAATGGAAGTATTCCACCCCCTCAGCAGCAGAGCAAAGCTGTGAAAGCATCTGCAGACACAGCCCAAACATGCAAGACCTTTACTCTTCTGCTCTGTTTAACCATTTAGCAAGGAACAGGTTATCAAGGTTTACACTGGGATGACAAAAATCCCCCTGGTGAAGCCATGAAACCTGGCTGAATTCTGGAAGGAGACAGACTGAGCATGGAAAACTCTGCCACTTGGAAACCAGCCCGAAATATCTACCTGCAGAATACAAAGAACTGGGTTCTCATTACCTGCTTAAAACATATTTCTGTGGCTTCAAAGTCCCTTTCTTCAGTCCCTGAAGGTCCAGAAGGTTCAGGAGAACCAGCATCGTGCTTTCTGCGCTTACGGGGGTCCCATCGTGGCGGTGTCTCGGCTGAAGAGTCTGTTGCTCTGTGTTTACTCACGTGCCTCTTTTTCACAGGAAACTCCTTATATTCTTCTTCCTCCTCCTCCTCCTCCTCTTCCCAAAGGCCAGATAGTACATCCGACTCCTTAGTGACAGGTCTGCCACCACACACAGTCCTCACAGAGGTGCTGGGTGGCTTCTTTGGGATTCTGCCATCTTCACTGCGCTTCTTCGAGCCGTCCGCCCTTTTCCGTGGCACATCGGACACAGACGACTTAAACTTCTCTATCATGGCTTGTTCTGCTTTTAACTTGAGCTTGCAGAGTTCAGCCTTCTCTCTCTTTTTCTTCAGGGCCTTCTCCCTCTGAAGTTCAAAGGTGTACCAGAGCCTTTTCTCTGTTCCCTCCAAGCGACTTCGTTCCTTGCTCGCAGTCACTGCGTCAGGAGTGCGGGTGCTTTTTCCGTGCTTAATTTCTTTGGGTTTAAATTGGATAATGACTTTCTTTTGCTTTTCAGGTCTAACTGAAGAATTGTCTGGGGTTTTGCTTCTATTTGGAGATTTTCCTTGGGATCTCTCCTCAGCATCATGAGAAACACTAGAACCTCGGTGTCGCTTCTTCTCTTGCCCATCTTTCTCTGGTCTGGATCTACAGAAACATCATGAAAAAAGCAATGTAATTTAGCCCAGTTAACACAAAACAGCAACAAAAAAGGCACCTACATTTGATTTAGGCAGTTAGAGCTAAGTATTTATGAGCATCAGTTTGGTCTGCTCTTAAATATGAACTTGCAGCACCATTTGTCCTTTAAAATAGTTTAATACAGCGTTTTTTGGATTTACATTTCTCCACTGTACAGTTACTTCAGCTTCAAAAAAAATGGAGAAAAAGCCTTTTCTGCATTCGGTATCTGTCAGTTTGAGAGACACCCTACAAAGCTGAGTTTCTTCTTATCACACAGATAAGTTTTAACAGCAGTTTAATGATAAAGGAGGTGTGTCACCCTGAAAGGTCAGCTTGGTCACCCAGTGTCAAAACCCACACAGCTTTCAAACTGTTTGTCCTGCACTGACCGGAGAACCTGGAAAAGGAACAACTGATGGGAATATAGTAACATTCTACAGAAAGTATGAGTGATGGAAGAAAGTTTCCTAGTCAGTTTTCCTAAGAGTAAAGAAAATACTCAGTAATTATTACTTACTTTACACTAGCTTTAAAATGCCCAAAGAAAGACTAGTTATAATACTGTGTTTTATTTAATGAAAAGGTTGAAAAAGTTCTTCAATTCAGCATTGAAAAAGTCTGTGATTGTTACATTTTTAAGCAGTTCCATTTAATGGCAGGGCAAGAATTTACCTCTGGAGTTCTGTCTCTCCTTTCATAGTGTGCTTATAAGATCTTGTGTCCTCAGAGGTCTGAAAGAAAAAAAATTCGTGGGCTTATAGAGGGAACTGCAGTTAAAATAAAACACACTTTCATAAGATGGTGCCACGATTGAGTGGTTTGGCTACTTAAGGAAACTCTGTCAAAGGGTGCAAAGGATGTGGATGCAACAATAAGGGTGCAGAAGGGTTTAGCAGTATTTAATTATTGAGTACTTTAACATTTACCAAGTGATTCAACAGGGTTCAGTACAACAATGACTTAACTATAGATCTGAGATAGCAACACCCATCCTGTGATCAATTCCCAGGTCAGAAGATGTGTCCCACACCTACTGCCATGTGTGTGAAGGTACTGTCCAAAATTCCAAAGTTCAGTGACATTCATCAAATCCTTTTGTTTCCCAACTGCCAAGGGATGCACCTCGAGGAGTGTGGAGATGTGTGGGGGTATCAGCCCACACCTCCTCATCAGTGAGGGACCCTGAGGATTCAGGAATTCCAACAGACATCCCGCTCTGAGGACCACTGTTTGTAGGGTCACAAGGCCACTGACTTTGGTCATCACCAATTTCCCATCCTGGCCATATCCCAAGTCCCTAAGTCCTGGGCTCTTTCCCAAAGCACAGTAACAATGGGACTGTTCCACTCGGGCTGCAATCCCCAGCGGTGCCGTTCCGCCCGGACGGCGATCCAGGTCAATGGTTTACCGAGGCTCCAAAGGATAACGGCTCATCCTTTGTTCCCCACCTTGGCTGGGATGTTCCTGTTTGTTCCCACCTGTACCACCCAGCAGCTCCTGGCAGGATCAGGGAGCACCTCCCGGCCCAGCTGGTGCAGTCAGGGGACACTTCACCGCTCAGCGGGTCCGTCAAGGCTTATCAGGAGCTTCCAAGGTGCTTCCAGCATGGCCAGGGATGGGGGGATGCACCACCACAGAGGAACAGCATGAAAATGTGGTCACACAGGCCTGGTTAAGGGTACAGGCAGTCCTCAAACAAAGAACTTGGACACTTCTTGTCTAGGAAGCAGCAGTATCACTGCTTGCTGTGTCCATGTTGCATCCATGTCGTGGAATAACGGGAAGGCAGCTCTGAGCAGGGCAGAGCAGCAGCTCTGGGAGAGAGGGGAGAGCAGCAGGACAGACTCTGGATAACTCTGCCCCACATGGCAGTTAGTTTTATATACCTTTGGGTTATATGACTCAGTTTTCCCCAAACTACAGCAGAGTGTAGGAAGTAACAACAGGGAACAGTAACATATGGATTACTTGGGATAAGGAAGCTCCAGACAGTTCATCCTTTTACAAATAATTCACTCCTTCAACACTTGTGGTGTGCTGACTCAATGAGGCCATTAGGTCACTGCTGCAGAGATTTTTCCTACCTAGACAGGCCTTAGCTGGTTTACTTCCACACTGGAAAGCACTCCACTCAAAAATCAAAGGCTTGCAGAAAGCAGTGGAGTCCTAAATTAAGGCAATTTTGAGAACTTCTGCCTTGGTTGGTTGGTTCTGGAGCCGTAGGATCAGTGTCAGCAACGCAACAGAAAAAAGAGAATGACAGACGATTCCAAAGCCCCCTCAGGTCACGTCCATACCCCCAAGGTGTGTCCCCCACTGGCTGGAAGGCAGGGAAGGGTCTCCCTTGGGGCAGGTGGAGCTCACGATGCTGGTGGGACAACTCCTGGTGACATCCAACCCACTTTGCCAGCAGCTCAGGTACTAATTTCTCTCTTCAAGGACTATTCCCCAACCATCACCAGCTTTCATGGCATTTTTAATATTTCTTTTCAACCCATCTCTTCCTTTTCTCAAAAGTCTCTTGTTAACTCTCTGATTTTCACTTAATTTGGCCATCACAAGCAAGTTTTCTTACTGTTCCTTTCCTTGGTTTGGGGTGTAAGACACCTCTAATCCATCCTGTGATCACACTGGAGAACTCTTGCACTATTAGAGGTTTACTCATCCTTTTGCTACTAAATAGTTTGGCTTCTCACTGTTGCTTTTGTGGGTCAATATCTGCATGAAGCAATATTTAATGCTGCCTCAAATTGAAATCAGGCAGCACTTTGTATTCTTCAAATTAGTAGAGGCATCAGCAATGGCAATAAGCTACAGCAGGAAGTTTGAAGCCAAGTGCTTACCCTTTGTATTACAGAAGTAAAAAAAAACCCCAACAAAACACCTAAGTTAATGTTAAAACACAAATTGAATAATACTAAGGAATTCAGGAGAAAAAAAACCCAGCTACAAATATTTGGCTTTGAACAACATTTTCTATAAGATTAAAAAGTTTCTAATATGAATAACTGAGTTTATAAGGTCGTAATACCACGCTCATTTATTAACACTGCCAAAAAAAATTTTGATAAGACAGTTAAAAGCTCTCTTACTTCAAATACTCCTTGCAAAATTCAAGGGGAAAAAAGAAGATTGCAAGAAATTACCAGAAAGATGATCACCCCTGTAGCATCTGCATTTTACAAGTGATTCAGTGAAAGCTCACTCACTAGATACAAGTAGATACCAGGATATGCTGAGAGTTTTGGTCATTAATTTATGTCTCAGTGCTTAGAAGGAAATATTTGAGAGTCGCTCATCAAAATGCTGCAAAAAGTACAACTTGTGGTTCATCAGAAAATAAAAGTGTATGATCCAAGACACAGAACAACCCCAGAAAACAGCAGTGCTTTTGGTAACAGTTCTAAGCTCAACTTTCCTCAGCCAGGAAGATACACAAAAATAAAAAAGCCTCTTGTTTTCTGACAACTACACTGCTCACAGTCCTGGAGAAAAACCTAAGTTATATACATAAACACAAACATAAGTTATCTGACCAACTCGACCCTCCTGCTGCACTTTATGACCTCCTATTTAAATTGGATTCATCCTTCTATCACAAAGCTACTGAACAATTCATGCTTTTCTTTTGAACACAGGGGATTGAATTAAGATAATAACAGTAATAATATTTTGGTTCCTACTTTGTCATCCCGGCCATCCAAAGAGTCTTCCTTTTCAGTTAATTTTTTCAGTTTCTTTTTAGACATCTTCAAATCCTAAGAAAAGAGAGTGCTGCCATTATTATTTGTGTCAAGTTCTTAGTTCCAACTAACATAAAAATAAATTGTAACTGCACAGAGAAAAAAAATATTCAAATACTCCTCTTTTGTTTTCTCATTACAGAGCCACAGCAGATCTCGACAGGGTTAATTATTCACATCTAAAGGAACTTCAGAGCAGAAAGGGATGGTAATTACCCGCCCAGGTGCTCCAGAAACATCGATTTTGTACCAGCAAACAGAGACAAACATCCTTTAACCTTCAGTCGCACGACCGAGTTTTCAGCCCATCAGACACGGGCAGGGGCTGCGCAGGGAGCTGGCGGAGTCGCCGAGCCCGGGGTGCTCCGGGAAAGCCCGGCCGTGGCACTCGGGGCTCCGGGCTCCTTCTGACAAGGTGGGCATCGGGCACAGGGTGGACTCGATGGTCTCAGGGGTCTCTTCCAACGCAACCGACTCTGCGAGGCAGTTCCAACCGTGCAACTCTCGCAACTCTCGCCTTCGCTCCATCCCCCGGGCCGGAGGTACCGCCGTGACACCTCACGACAGCCACGCCACCCTCTACACAAACCAGCGCACTCGAGCCAGGCGTTCCCGAGGGCTGTAAAAGGCTTCAGTAGGAGGCGATTCCCGGAGCCCAGAGCCGGGCAGGGAGCCCCGGGAGCGGCCCCGCCCTGAGGGGGGACAGGCACAGGGCTCTGAGGGAGCCGGTCCAGGGGGGCTCAGGGACGGCAGATCCCGCCTCGCCCCCCGCGTGGGGCTGAGCCCGGGGGCCCTCACGGCACCTCGGGCACTGACAGCACACCCTCCCTTCCCGTCTCCCTTCCCTTCCTATTTCCTTCCTATTTCCCTTTCCTTCCTCGCCCCTCCCCACAGGGCACCCGTACGGCGCCGCCTCACCCGGCTGGGACGCTCCTCCCGCGGCGGCTCCGTGTGGCCGGCGGGGCGGAGGCGGTGGCTGTGCCGGGCGCGGGTCCGTCCCTGCCCCAACCGCCTCTGTCCTGCCGGGCGCGGGTCCCCCCGAGCTCCGCCGCGGCTCCTCCTCCCGCCGCGGTGCGCGCCGGGCCGTCCCGGAGCGCGGCTGGGAAGTGTAGGCGGGGCGGGCCGGACGTGCCGCTCCGCCCCGGGGCCGAGCGCGCCGCGGGCTCCGCGCACCGAACATGGCAGCGGCTGAGGCGGCCGAGGCCGCGCTGCAGCGGCGGCAGGAGGACGAGGAGAAGGAGGAGAACGAGAACCATAACCATAACCATAACCATAACCATGGAGGCGGCGGCGACACGGCGGCGCTCAGTGAGGGCCGGGCGGGGGCTGAGGGCGGGCGGGGGGAGCCGGGCCCGCCGGGCGGGGGCTGAGGGCGGGCGGGCGCCATGCGGAGCCCTGGGCGCGTTTGAATTTCCACCCCGGGCGCGTTTAAATTTCCACCCCGGGCGCGTTTGAATTTCCACCCCGGGGCCGCCTCCCGGCTCCCTCCGCCCTCGCCGTGGAGCTCTGGGAGCTGGAGGCTCCCGGCTTCCCCGACCTGCTCCCGCCGGGCCTCGGGCCGCTCTGAGCCCGCGACCCTGCGCTCGTGGCTCCCCTTCCCCCCTGAATCCAGCGGTGCCTTGTCCCCGGTGGTCAGTTGTTGTTCCTGGGGGGCCCGTGGGCAGCCCGGGGTGCGGGGGGCTCAGCCCGGGGTGCGGGGGGCTCAGCCCGGGGTGCGGGGGGCTCAGCCCCGCGCCTTTTCCCCGCGGGATTGCGAGCCCAGACTTGTCTGTGCCATGTTCTCTGTGCCGACCCTGCCGGAGCAGGGGCTGGGAACGCTGCGGTCCCTCCCAGCCCGGCCCGTTCTGGGGGGCCGTGAACTGGTTGTGCCGGGTTTCGAGTCCCTTCCTGCTGCAGCCTTTCGGTTCGAGTGAACCGACTCCTCTAATTAATTTTTTTTCCCGTTTAAGTATAATTTAGGCTCCCTGAAGCGTTATTCTGATTTGTGCGTAATCAGTGATTCCTGATAAGCATTTAAAAAAAAAATCCTGCAGTCTTTCTTCGGTAGCAGCCTGCTTTTCTTCAGCGTTCGGTGTGAAAGTTTACTTCTCTCTCTGTGCGTTTACATATTAATTACATTTATATGTATACACGTACTCTCCTTTTCAACCATTTTAACCTCTGCACGTGCTCTGAAGATGCGGATGGTCCATTTCCGGTGGATTTTTGTCACTGCTGTGCTCTCATTCTACATTTTTGTAACTCTTTCCAGTTTTCTCAGAGCACACGTAATCATAATTGATAACTGTTACGGATTTCTTACCAAAAATCCTTTTACTTATTCATCTTCTTTCTGTCTGTTAATAAATTGCGTAGAAACTGTCACCAGGAATCCTACAACTTTTAATAGAGCACTGAGCAGGTAATACAAGTCTGTCTTAGGTGAGTTGTCAGCTTAGAAACAGGTCTGTGAAGAGCACAGCAATGCTCTCTGAGTAGCAGTGCAGTCATAATATTTTAAGGTAGGTAGAATAATTTTCCTCGTTGCTTCTGTCTTTTGAAACAATTTCTCTAGTCCTTGCCTTGAGGTATCCCATTTCCTCTTTCTGCTTTGTTTTTGCAATAACAAATATTTGTACCCAACTGCAATGTTTAAAAGAAAACAAACAAAAGTCCCCCAGGGGAATTCAAGAACTGCTGCGAGATCCTTCCAGCCAGGAGTGGGTGGCTGCGGAAGACTACTAAAATCATGGAATTCTGGGATGGTTTGGGTTGGAAGGGACCTTAAGGATCACCCAGTCCCACCCCCTGCCATGGGCAGGGACACCTTCCAGTATCCCAGGTTGCTCCAAGCCCCGTCCAGAGCACAACCAATACAGTCATGGATCCTCCGGGAATAACCTCAAGCACAAACCGGTTTGTAACTCCGAGTGGTGCATCCCAGCTTTTGTGTTGGGAGAGGCAGCCACTGGTTGACTCGTGTGCTCTCTCTGCATGCCGAGATCTTGCAGACATCTGTCCCACCCGGCTGAGGAGCCTTAGGCTGCCCCGTTGCTCCTCAGTGGCTGCACAGCCATGCCATGGCCTTGTTTCTTGTTGGAAACTCTCCTAGTCCCGCGCGACCCTTGCAAGCTCGTGGGGTCGTTCGATGGGAGTGGCTTTCTGAATCCTTTCCTAGTGCTTCCTGGTGCCCCTGGGTGGGGAGGGGACCCCCAGCTTCTGAGGATTTCTGCCTCTCCTTCAGTTGTTTGGCTGGTTTTTGCCGTTTTATTGTCCCGAAACTCAGCCCCTTCAGTCCTTGATTTTCCTCCTCAGGCCCATCTGCATTGCCCCAGGAGGTCATTCATTTGCAAATACACCAGCACTTAACTCCCAGATTAGCAAATTCCTTCCTTATTCCTGTCTTTTTTCCCTGATTGTTCGAATTACAAACAATTCTAAACTACTGTTACCGGATTTTCCCAGCCGGGGTATGTTGTTAGGAGAACTTGGACCTCCTCCTTGCCTGCTTTCCTTTGCTGTCTTCCAGAAAAAATGTAAATATTATTTTGTTCACCTTAAACATCTGATAATACAGGTGGTGAGTTGAATAGCTTCAGCTGTCCAGGATGGCATTATTCCACGGTGGTTTCCAAGGATAATTGCAGTGATAATTAATCTCATATTATTCCCCTACATACTGTTTGGTTATGTTTTTTCCTCCTTCACACTTCTAATCACCATCGGATTATTGGAAACGTTTGTATAGTTCAGTTACATCAGCAACACTTCCACTGGGTTTTTTTGTTTAAGATGGTGTGGTTGTCTCTGACAAAGTGAAAAGCAACAACCTGGATGTGAAAATTCCCGAGTCAGAATTGGAAACCGAAGAAAAAGGAACGGGGGAAGAACCTACAAGGGAATCAGATGGCAACATTTTGGATGTATCGTCTGATTTTCCACGAGGTTTGCTCTTAAACTCTAATATTTGTGTTGTGTGCTTGAGGTAGAGAAACAGGGGGAGAAAGGTGAAGGGAGTGTGTGAAATCTCATTTTACAGCTTTAAAACTCACCGGTATATCCCGAGCACACGGATCAATTACTTTGTCTCTCGTAAGAAAACCTGAAGATTGATCTTGGAAAAGACACTGTGAAGGTTAAAGTCACTACAAAATCAGTGTCAGTCCAAAGGGGGATGTTCTGTGTGCTGGAACCAATAAAGCAGATTTATTGGATAAGCTAATTCTCTTCTTTTTAACAAATTCTCCACTGTTCCCCTTGACTGGTAAGTTGGAAAATCAGGTGGTAGATTTAGAGGTTGAACAGTTTCCTAAGGGAAAGGGGAAAAAGTGGTAGAATGTAATGTATTCTGGCTCTACAGTGAATAATTTTTCTTAAAATTGGTCCACTTTTGGCTGATACTTTAATTTTGCCAGACAGTTCATAGGATGTTTTTATACTGCTTTGGGCATGATTTGCATTGAAACCAGGAGTCAATGGAATGTGACTTGTTTTTTCACATTTCCAATTTTAAAAGTTTGATGTGTGTTAGTATTAAAAAGAAGTAGGGATATGTGAAAATATACAGATCTTATTAAAGAGCCTTTCTGGGGATTAATTTTGGCAGTCATTCCTGCTACCATGGAGGTTGAAGGATACAAATAAGGATTCCAGTTGATACTACAGTCATTTTCTACCAGTGTTAGGTTTGAAATGATGCATAGAAAAGTAGCAGTAAACTAAAAATAATTTTTAAACTGAGAGTGTTTAACTTCTGAACATTTCTGCTTCGTTAGACAAACATATTTCAATTCAAAGACACTTGGCTGATCTGAAGAAACTGGCTGACCTGAGAGAAGGTGAGTTCACCAGGGCAGTGCCCCAGAACACACATCTCTGTGTTAAGGGTATTTCTGTTTTCCCTTAGTCTTTATTTTTGACACACTACATGTATTTATAATGCTTGAAGACCAGGGCTTTTGTAAAAAAAGAGCCTTATGATTTATTCCCTTGCTCTTCTGCTAAATTCTGCCTGCAGGATTTCCAAGGCAAAATGATTTCATATAGAGCACATTGTCTTTTTTTGCACCTTAAAAAGATGTCAGATGCTTGCTTTCTCCAAAAGATTCAGGAGTTGGAAAGACAGAGTCTTGTTCTAACCTCTTAACTTGTTTGGGGTTTTTTTAAAACGTTGCAAGTCTCTGCATGTCATCTGTAAAATTCTGTTGTTCCTCAGGGCTCTTCAGAAGTTGCATTAAAGCTCATGTAGCTGGAGTAAAAAATACTAGAAAACAAAAGCTAAAGTTTGTAGAAGCTAATTATCTTCAAGGTGGTAGTGATTCTTGCCTGTATTCAGTGGAGTACAAAGACTAAATCCATGAATTTGAAGTTTCTGTGGGCCTGCAATAGAATGTTCCCTGGGGAGTTCATCTTTAACTCCCGTTGATATTACCTTCATGCTTTCTTTCCCTTGGCCTGCATGTTG